TGGAGAAGGCAGCAAAGAGGACTCAATAGATACATCTCAGAGCACAATGATCAGGTTGGGGCTAGTGTCTGACAGGAAAGAAAGGACTGGGATTGGCATGGGTAGAAGATAGGAATGAAATGAACAGGACAGAAAGGGTGACTTGGGTTGAGAGCAGGAACATGACAGGCTGGAGGACTGGGAACCCATTAATGGAGTGGCACAGTTGGCCAAAGAGGTCAAGCAAAAGTCTGAGGTTAGTAGCTAGTGGCTGGAGAAGAGAGGCAGAAAAAGGAGATAATCCAGACAGGGATATAGTAGTTTGAAGGGAAAATTCAGTCTGGCTAAGCAAAGGGGCTAGGACAAATCACCAGAGCTGCAGAACAGGACAACAAGCCAGAGATGTGATAGGAGAAACAATGGTGAAAGGAGAGCTAGGTTGCAGGCAGGGTTTGGAGTCATATGGGGCACTGGTTGAAGAGATCAGCTAGGTGAGGAACTGGAGGTGGAGAAGAGAGGTGGCTTTGGGGGATCTGAGGGGCAGGTGCAGGGAAGAAAAGAGACCAAGAGAGAAGTGGACTGGAGCATGTCCCCACAAAAGCATGCTGCCTTCCCAATGATGCAGTCAAACCTGGGCCCTGAGCCTCCAGAGTCAGCTCTGAAAGCACCAGCAAATGGTGGGAGCCCATAGAGAGAACAACTTACTCCTGTCACATGCTATCCCAAGCTGAAGTCTACATTAGAGATCTGAAGGTGATGAGTCTGCAGGGCAACCGTGCAGTGGCATTTCTAATTTTTTAATTCATTTCTGAAATACCAAGGAAAATCTTCCACGCAGCACACTCTGTACACTCATGTGCAAGGGCACACACACAGATGTCCCTGGAAGAGCACTCACTGCTGCAAAGCTGCATGTGCAGATAGATGTTTCCAGAGCCCTCCAGGCCCTCTATGGAGAGAACAATTCCTCCACCTCATGTGAAAATAATACATAAAGCACCACGTATTTCAACTTAGAATACCTAACTGTGAATACTCAACTTTGTCATTTTAGGAATGTCTTTTTAACTTAAATTATGGGTGTATAAGATAGTGTGTTTAGACAATTGTGACAGAGACTGCCCACGCACAGGAAAGACTTGTTTCTCTACTGACCTATGAACTTTGGATTTTTACAGAAATTAGGGTTTTTAATTCCTTTTTGGGTTTGGCTTTGTTGCTGAGGGCTTAAACCTCCTGGTGGGCAGTGGAGGGGGTGGAACAACTCTGTGGTGTGGCTGCTTGCACAAGTCTGTTACATGGTAGTGCTCAACAAATGAACCACAAACCCAGGGAATTCTGCTGCAGACTGCAATACTTGGTTTTGTATTAGCAGCAGGTGATTTGTGTCCACAGTTTTGCCATGGAGAAGTGAGACTTACATGAATGCTATGCCCCAGTGCTGCCCAGCCTGGTCCCCAGCCGACTCAAAGAGAGGTAGTGCAACCAAGGTGATAGTGGGGGCAATTGTCAGGGGGCCAATGAACCTCATCAGAAATCCGATCAGGCCAGAAAATCCAATGAGAATTTGAAAGCAGGAAGCTACAATGATAGCTCCTTGCACCTGCAAAAATGGAGGAAGAAAACAGAGGTTGGAAGGAGCTCCAGCTGTTGAGCCTTTCCATCATAAGTCTGCAAATCCAGTGTGAGCCAGGGTCAGCCTCCAGTGACAGACTGGCATGAAGGCCTCC